TTTTGCAGATGTCACTGACAGCTTTGAACACCATGGAAGAGAAGCTGACTTTCAGTCTCACAGTCTTCATGTTTGGCAAGCGAAGCCGCAGCATTTTGTGCTGAGTAGTGAAGATCAGCTTAGCATCTGCCTGCACCCCGCATTTATCCAGTGTCCAGTGGGTTTTCAGAAGCCAACATTTCTTTTGTTCCCACCAGAAAGCATAGTCTGACCAATCTTGTGCTATTTCTAGGAAAATACAAAATGGTTACTAACAAACTATGGAGCAAATATACCAAACATTTGATTTGGAAACAGGTCTCTGCAAACACAAATATTTTAGATTAAAGCAGCAGCTACAGGTCCCAACCTAGAGCCTGTTTGCTGAATTCTTGTGGCAGTCACTGAGAACCAGCTTTGTTTTCCCTGAAGATCTAACCTAGGTGCTGACTGTGGCACTGCCTTAGTCTGTGGATATCCATGGGGAAAGAACAGCTCCTGAATCTGGTGCTACCTGTGGTGCAATGCTGCTGGGATTGTGCCGGGATAAGGACTAACAACAAAGGGTTCCAGCTCAGAACTTGTCAGTGCAAGCTGAAAATCCTCCTACAAAATCTCCTGTCACCCAGATGGGCACAAGCTCCTCCACTGCCTCCTGGCAGCAGCACTGAGCAGCTCATCTCAGTGTTAAGAACCAGCTTCAATTCCATGGAAGTCTTGGTGACACACAGCTGAGTAGCAGCACATGCACAAGGAGAGAGATAAAAGTATTGCTGCTCTTAATTCCATGGGAATTCCAAGATAACTTCCCAGATGTCAATATGTAGTAGCAGGTAAAGCTTCTGTGTGATCTTGGCCAAGCTGTTTCAGTCTCTGCACCAATCCTTGTTCCTCACCAGCTCCATGAGGCAGAGGCTGTTCCTCAGCATGTCCATAAATAACACAGCAGAGCCCTGTCCTATCTCGGGGTGCCCTGGTGAGAGCTGTGTCTCAAGAGAGCTGCTGACACAAGTCCGTTACAGATTTGCTTTAAATATTAATACAGAAAGCTTTTCACACCAGCTGAATATTAAAAAAGAATACTGTGAAGAATTGTTCTTCTGACTCAGTGGAAACTGCGGCTACCGGCAGTTTCCGGCTGAACCGAGTGTCTAAGTGTGCAGAGTGGGTGACAGAACTGATCTCACATTCTCTTCCTGTGCTGCCCTGCACACAGGGGATTTTACTTTTCACTTCCTAACTTTGACTTGGCTAGTCTTGGCTTTTCCCAGCTCTTCCCTACTGTGTCTATGCAATGGATACCACGGCTCAGACTTAGGTTGGAACACCACAACAGCACAGGAGACAGGAACTCCTGAAGTGCCTTTTAACAAGTGATCCTGTCTGACAGCCATGGGTGCATAAACAGGGCATCACCTACCTCTCCTGCCCCCCAAACCACACAGCTGTACCATCCTGCTGGAAAGGGACTTGAGTAGTCTGGTTTAATTATTTTTTTTCTACTGAAAGGCAACCCCAAAGTTTTGTTGGCACTATGGTAACACAGAGGGTGGAACACAGGGAGGGGTTTCTGGTTTTCTAACCACAAAAAGCTCCACACATTGTGCTGTAACACAGAAATGGGGGAGTACCATTTCAAAACACACAAACTTTTCTTCAGAGAGGGAAAGATGCACATATTATTTAGTAACACTGTAAATGAAACAGGTCTTTACTCACTGATTTTTTCTACTAATTTCAGCATCAGTCCTCCAACATGAAGATCCCCTGTGACCTGTAGTGAAAATTTCTTATCTACACCTTCATGTTGATGGTCAACTGTCAGCAAGAGGTCCCAGGTGTGTGACCCATATTCATTTGAGGAAACCATCTTGGGAAAGGTCTGTGTAAGCTCTGCAAAAGCAAACCAACCAAACGAACAGGATGTTTCTCCTCCACTCTGAAACAAATGCATTTCTCCACAGTCTCAACATCATTCCATGCTGCCAGGACTTCACAGCAGCCTTGGAAGGAACTTCAGAAGTGTTATCTTGTTACCTCTGAACCAGACTCTGCTCCTGCAATTGCTCTTGCAAGATAGGAATGTGGGATTTTTTGGTTTCATTCTCATTTTGCCATGCCCCCAACCCAGTTGCCTCCATTTGGGTAGATATAGCTCAGTTTTAGCTGGGTTTTCCCACCACCCAGTGCTAATCTGCCAGCCTGGACAATGTAAAGCCTACAGGGAACAAAGGCATTTTGTTGACTTGTACACTTAGAGCTCTAAGTTTTACTGCAAATCCAAGTTTACTTTTGCAGTTCTGCCAGCTTGCTCCCATGGGACCAAATCCAGAGAGCAGTTGTACCTATTTGGGTACATACAAAGGGAGACAACTTTAGTGGCTCTCTGCCAGCATTATCCAGACACAGATCTGCAGTTCCTGCTGACTTGCACAGGGATGTAGGCACGTGTCCTTCTCAGCAGGGTGAATTGTCTGAGATCCCACCAGGCTCCTGCCAGGACAGGTGAACAGTAATCATGCCAAGCCAAACTACAGGAGACGCTCCAAGAAGAAGCTTTGGTTATCATCAGCTGGGCTCTGCTGAAGAAAGAGCTTGTAGGTATAAGGTAACTGATGCTGCAGGCAGGATTTGTGATATTTAAGCAGTGAGACAGCTCTCTGTCCTGAAAAAAGGCCTTTGCATTTGAGGCATAGGCACTAAAATGGATGAATTCCATTTATTGCAAACTTTCAACAACACACGAGAGCCCAGCTCACAGACTCTCTCTGAAGGGGCCCTACTCAGACTGCTTTCAACATAGAAAATAACTCAGCCAGAAGAGATGTAACAACGTTACAGTCTGTTGTAGTTCTTCTTAAAAATGAGTACATAGTAATTAAAAACCTGATGTCAATGACTTTGTTACAAAATGTATTGTCAAAAAGATAAGAGAGATGAAGTAATAATGACAAAATCGACTAACAAGGAAAGTGATTCCAAACATAAAGGCAATGAATGTGTATGTGTTAAAGATTAGATGGATTTCCCCTTAAACAAATGACATTATAAATGAATAATCTGACCTGCTCAAAGCCATCATTTTAGAGGGAAATCACCTTACCAGCGAGTTTCACTGGGAAGGGGCTGGGAGCCTGCCCTGAAGTTCCAAAATTACAGACACACACAGAGAGCACAAAGTCAGAGAGCTGCAGCTTCCTAACTGTGTGACTCCAAGAGCCCAAGTCTCACTATGGAGCAGGCCCTGTTGTTAGCTGGGTTCTTGCATGTGCCAGCCTACACCTTTACACTAAACACTTACTAAACCAACAAGGGTTGGTACTTATCCAAGAGGTTTGCTTGGCTTGCCTCGGTAAATAAAGGCATTGTGTTGGACACTGGGAACACTGCCTTTCCTGCCCTGGGATAAAGGGTTTTGAATTTGTGCTGCCGTGTGCCACATGGATTTATGAGCTTAGGTATGCACTAGAGCAGGGGGTACCTGTGGAGGGGAAGGGCTGTGGCTCTCCTAAAGCACCCAAGACCCAGACCCCGAGCTGGTCTCCAGGCAGGGGAGGCTTTCAGCACAAGTGCAGTACAAGGTGCACAGCACAGTTCTCCTTGCAATGTATTGATAGCAAAACAAAATTCCTGACTATAGAAAGGGCAAAATGCCCCTAGTCATGCTCCTAAGCATCAATAAAAAACTTCAAAAGTAATCCATGGCTAAAGGATGAGAGCTATGGGATTTTATTTCAGGAGCACAGGGGTGCAGTCTGGCAGATGAACTCTACTTTTGCCCACCCTTGTTCCACTATAAACCAATATTGTTACAGAAAAGCAGCAGTCTCATCTGCCCTCTTGGGTCAGCGAAAACATTTAGGAACTGATCTGGATTTTTTTGGGCATCTATAAATTAGGTTTCACTTCCCAATCTAATTCTGCACACAAATGCCTGTGCTGACACGGGTGAAAATGAGCAGCCCAAGGGGTGGGTGAAACCCTTTCTTTCAGCAGCTTGGAAAAGCATGTCCTCAGTGCACTAATCCTGGCACTCCATCATTCCCTAAAGCTGCTCTTTACCTCTCCACTTCCTCTTCCAACCAGGAGGTTTCAGTTTGAAGATAAGGCAACACAAACACTTGTAAATCTACCGGAGTACGCAGCACAAACAAAGCCTGGGCTCGAAAACGGGGCAAGCAAAGCGACGAGGACAAGGAACCCCTCAGAATTAAACCAAACCAAACCAAACCCAAACCGTCAGGGCTCCACATCTTGCAGCCTCCAGCTCAAGCCTGGATCTGCTCGGGAACGTGCCCCGGCTCCCGGGCTCCACGTGGGAGCTTGCAAGGCCTGGCACGGGTGGATCACACAGGCCAGAAACGTGTCCTCGGGCTACTGCTGCCTCCACTCGGGATTTCTGCGGCGCACTGCGGCCAGCGCAGCTATCGAAAAGCACCAGTGGCTCTGCACATCGAGCTCTCCGCAGATTTTAGCCCTCACAGCCCCAAACTTCAACGGAGAAAGATGTGAATCGTGCTGGAGCCAGGCGCTACCCACGCGGGGTTAAGGTCAAGAGGGGTCCCGAGGTCTCTGGTGCCTGGCGCAGCTCGGAGGTGCCAGGGGGGCCCGCAGCACCCTCGGCAGCGCCACTTGCACTTTGAGGAAGTGCCGGCGGCCCCACGGAAGGACTGTAAAAGAAACAACCCGGGCTCTGGGGCGCAGCTCTGGGCACTGCCGCCCGCCCCAGGGGCAGCGCGTACCGGCCCCCGTGCCCCGGGCCCGGTCACTCGGGCACCGCTCCGCGCTCCCCGCGCTCCTCACCTGCCGCTCCCGCCGGCAGTGCTCCCCTCGTCTCCCGCGCCCTTCGCCGCCACCACCTGGCCTCCGAGAGCGCTAAGGGAGGAGCGGGGGAAGCGGCCCCTCCTTCCTTCTCCTTCCCTCTGCCCGCCCGCCCGCGGTGGGAGAAGGCGGCTCGGGGCGCTGCCCGCCCCAGCGGTGCTCAGGGCGTCCTGCTCGCCCGCTGCCCACAGACAGCACCCCATCCACGGCCCCAGGCCATCGAGCAGCTCCAGGGGTGCTTGTACACGTTTGAGGCTACCCGGAGAAAATCGGTTCCGAGGGTGCAATGGCAAAGAACAGAAAGGTGTGTTTGTGAGGTGAGGATGTGTTAGAACTGAGGCACAGAGTAAAAGTAGATTGAACTGATAGGAAGGGGGCAAAAGCTTCTCCATGAGGCAGATTTTTACAGAAAGTCTTTCTTGCTTTATACATGGTGGTACAGTGATGAGGTAAAGGGAAAAACCATATTAATGACAGAAAAGAGAAACAGAGATAAATAAAGGAAAAATTCTTTCAGATTAAACTCATACCCTGGAGAAAGACTGCAGAGATATAAAGGGCACCCACACCATGGGCAGCAAATGGTTACTCTCATGAGAACTATGAAGTTGTCAAACCACAGATAATATCACAGGATATTTGCTCCCCTAGGCTTGCTCCCTGAGCTGCTCTGATCATGCTCATCTCTTTGGATTGTCTATGCACGCACGTGTCATATCAGCCATCCTTGGAGACAGGCACTTGAGAGCTCCTGAAGGCTTCCAAGGCCTTCTGTCACCTGAGGGCACACAGAGGCCTTTAACCACCCCAGCCAGACCCAGCTGGGGCAAATTTCAGGCATTCTACTTAAGCTCAGGCTGAGAGGCAGTTTATCCTTGAGGTCATGGGGAGTAACTCTGCTTTTGTTGCTTCTTGGCACTGGCTTGACTCAGTGGCTTTTCAGATCTTTGTAGGACAGTTTGGTGAGCTGCCTGCTTATTATTGTTTAAATAAAGGTACCTCTGCAGATGAGCAAATAATTTTGTATGGACCATAGGGTAATATAAAATTCAGGTGTGAATTGGTTGGTGAACAACCAAGCCTGCTGCTCAGCTCAGAAACACATTCTTGAGTTTTGTTCACTAAATAAATAAAGCAAGATCACAAACTCTTGATCAAATTGGAAAAAAATGGTGCTTGGGAGATAATCAATACAAGTGAAGATGGTTGCCAGGCCAGTCAATAAACATTGACTTTTATCTCCAGGCTGGTCCCAATCCTGACCTGTTCTAATTGTAAGTACTATTTCCCTTCCCAGCTGCCTGTGAACAACTGACTTGAGAGAAGAGGCTGTGGAGTTTGATGGCAGCCTGGCCCTACTGTGCCAGGAGGGCTGGGGCTCATGGTCCACCTGAACTGCTCTGGGACTGCTGAAAAAATCTCTGCCAGATCCCTTGGAGAGGAAAATGCACTTGCTGGATGCAGGAAAAGGATTTGGGAAAAAGCCAGAAGACAAGGAGGCTTTTTTAAGTAAGTTCTCTGTGAATCTAATATAAAGCATTGCAAGGAAATAGGTGGGTTTTCAGTCAACACTGATCATACCCCCAGCATACCCCAGTGAGGCAGTGATGGCTTACTGAGGAGTTGCAAATTAGGGAATGTTTCAGAGGTAGCATTTTCATTTTCAGTCATCTTTCAAGAGGCTGAGGAAGCCAGATTTGGAGACCTGTAATAATCTCATCCTTTGAGAGGTGAGTGGGGAAAACTGTATTAGAGTAATAACTTTTCTCTTCCAGAGTTCCCATGGAGAAGGATGGGAAATGAAATCTCCATTTGCAGCTTCTTTACAGTTTGTATGCTAAAAGCCTCCTTTAGTCAGGAATGAGGTTTACTGGATATAGGTAGGGTTAATTTATTCTTGGGGTTACTCAGCTAAGGCTGAATGGGATTAGTTTAGAGTTTGATTCCTTTTCCAAAGGGTCTACTAAACATCTATAGCTGAGAGTCTCTTAGTTGACAAATGTATGGTGTTGGGAGCATAGGAGGTAACATGACAAAGGCAGAATAATAAATACTCAACTTTTGGTAAAAATGTATATTTCTTCTTTTAATATACTTTTAATAGCTTTTCTTAAGCCAGTGTCATAAATTATCACCAAGTGATGATTTAATCATGTAAGACTGGCTCTATTGTTGTGTCAATGCTCTTGTTAGAAAACACAATGTCTGGAGAAATGTTTTCTCTTTTTTTATAAGCCTCTTTATTTCTGTTATGGTTGTTCCTTAACTATTGGGGAAAATTGTTCAGTATTTAATTTTGGGTACTATTGGGCTCACCCCAGTTTGTGGATGCATCTATTTTCCAAATTGCCATTCCTCTCCAGCTTGCCTTACTTCTGTTCTCTGCATTTTCCATGCAGTAGCTGTAATGCTTCCTCCTCCTCCCAGAGCAGCATTTCCCACTCAGGGTTTGCCAGGCTGTGGCCAAAGCAGACCTGGAGCAGAGCCACAGGGGATGGGGAACAGCAGCAACTGTGCAAGTGCTGCATTTCCCCCAAGGCTCTTTAGGCACTCAATAACTTCAGCTTTTCCAAGGAATTACTTGTGGCAGTGCCAAGAGTCTGGAGGGCAGTTGGTGAGTTCTCAGTGTAGGGAAAGTTACTTAAAGAAGTTTATAAAATATTGAAATGCTCCTGCCAGTACCTGGCACTTGGAAGTTTCCTAAAGCCTTGAAGAAGTGACTGTTGCTGTACTGAGTATCAGGCTTGGATTGCAGGTGAGGACTAAAGCTGAGCAGAGATTGTCAGTGTTGTGTTCTCATATCCTGTAGCTGGTTACTGGAGATCTTTCTTCTCATACTGGCATCAAAACCAAAGAGGGCGGGTGTGAAAGAGTGGTGCCCTCTCTCCCCATGGAAAACTTGTTATTTTGTGATGTGACTTCTGAAATCTGTGCTTGGCAGGCAGATGATTTTTGTTGTGCTAAATGTAAGTATATTCCACTTGCTGTAGGTAAAGAATTAAAGTGTGTATCTCTGTGTCCCCCCCATTACTGACAGAGAAATGAATCAGTGCAAACCCTGGCCTGAGCACCAGGCACTACTGACAGAGCTGTTGAGAAAAGCTGATCTGTACCACACAAGGGCCTTTGTGTTGAAAATCCACTCTCTGATAAATGTCCACAGGTGGGACGTGGCAATGCTTTATCTTTTGGTATCCCTTGGCTGTACTGCTGCTTGGTGGCACCAACAGCCATGGTAAAAATATCTGAAGCTTTGGAAAAATTCAGTTCCTGTAAAAGAAAAATCTAAGCCATGGGGTACCTGGATTAAGAGGAACAATAAAAACCCTCAGTCTCTTGGTTTAGGGGTGTTGAAGCTGCTGTTGCAGATCTGACCTGGGGTCTGAGGCTGATGCATTGGGGTGCCCCTTGATACAGAACTGACCCATAATGACTCAAGCTCACAGAGGGTGTCTCTGTCCCCACCCTCTGGCTGTTGGGACTTCTGGGGATTTTAAAGTTTGTTTTGTCTCTGGCTGGCTCATGCTTGAAAAGCACCACACAGTGAAACACTTCCCTGCCGGGTGCACAGGCTGAGTCACTAACACTGCTACCAAAACTCCCTTCCCCAGGGGGAACTGAGCAGACCCAGGAGGGAACTGCCCAAAAAGGACCATGTCAGTGAGCATGTTCCCCAGACAGCTGACTGGTGACACACACCTCTCTCATGCTGCTTTCAGCTGAAGCAACAAAGCTTTGCAAAGCTAGAGTTGCAAACAGAACTGTTTTTCATCACCAAGGATGAACTCACCCTACTATTCAGCTTTTTTACCTTCCTTCACTCTGGTGGTTGTAAAACAGAGCAAAAAAAAAAAGGTGGTTTAGACTGTCTTTTAGGCTTTTAGAAAAAGTGTGGCTTGGTTTCAAATCTGATATGTGATGTAAGACTTTCAGAAATTCTTGGTGTTGCCTTTTCTGTGCTCCTGTAAGTCAGGGCTACAGGGAGATGGTACCAAGCTAATCTTGAACAATTTCCTCTTAAATATGTATCATGGGTAATTAAAGGAAATACATTTTCCTTTTCCACCCTTGGAGGCCAAGCACCTGCTGTGAGGTTGTAAAATTTATGAGTTAAAAGTTGTTAATGCCTGACTGTGTACATAAATGCTAAAGGCTACAAGAGACAGCATCACATCAAATGGTGGCAGTGGGTTGAATCTGCATTCCCTGTGGGAAGTTTCTTGTGGATTCTGTCATGTCTGATGGGAGTGTCTTGCAGTTGGAATCTCAGCTGTTGGACCAAATGAAGAAAGAGTCCCAAAGGCTAACACAGGGTTTGGTACTATCCTTTCCAAAACAACAATGAGAAAGTTATAATAACAGCATGTAATCAGACAATTATTTTGAACCCAGCCTATTTTCTTTTGGATACTGGTTCTCAGTTGGAGTGACACTCTGAGATATTATCTAATGCTGGATTGAGGCTACTGGGATGGGAGCTTTTAAGATAAATAGACTCACCTTTGTTTGACCTCTTCAGTTTGAAATTGCTCATATTAATAGTACCCTAAATCATTCTTCATCCTTTTCAGATGCTTTAAATATAACAGCTGTATTTACATGATCCAAACGAAACTGAAAGTTCTGTATCTGTGCAGATCAACTGAAGATAGTCTTTTGCCCTGAGGAGCTGAAACTGCAATAGGGGGCAGGATGGAATGTAGAAGTGGCCTCACTCACTCCATTCCCAGGGAAAGCAGAGTGGCTGGAGGTTGCAGAGGCTCTGTTGTAAATCAGCTGTTTCTGAGCCACAGGGGGCAGACAGAGTTGCACAGGTGTCCCTGCTCCAGCCCTCAGCCTGCTGGGAGCCAAGTGTTGCTCCCTCGGGCGGAGTTTGGGAGCACAGCCCTGAGTTGCACCAGGGCTCTGCTGCAGGTGGGATCTGAGCTGGCACCGAGCTGCTCCCGCCTTCTCCTGACCTTGGGCCACAGCCCTGGGGGAGCAGAGCTGCTGCTGCCACAGTTCTGCCCCTGCTGGGCCGCACAAGTGTGCCCTGGGGCCTGGATTAAACTCGTGGGGCAGGATTGGGTTTGAGGGAACAGCTCTTCCCTGCTCCCTACAACTGACTCTGTGAGAAGGCAGCAGTGTCTGACTTGTGCAATGTATCAGCAAACTTGGGATGCTGCTCTGAAAGGGGGTTGTGCAACTTTCCTGAATGAATAATGCCTGATGAAAGCAATGCAAATGCTGTGTTGCCAAATTTGGTTTTGTGCAAATATACTTTTTTTTTTTTTTTTTTTTAATACTAGACCCAGCCTTTTAAATATAGAAGCTTTAAATAAGACTTCCCTGTGTCTATTCCTGCACCTAAATCAGCATTTTCCAGAGGCTGAGCAGCACCTGGAGTTCCCCTAAGGCATGTGACTTGTAAAAGCTGCAGTGTAATTAACAATCTGAAAAGTCATGTTGCAGATTCATATGCCTAAGGGTAGGGTTTTTCCCTCTGTTTTTTCATTTTCTCTCCCCCATCCCTTCCAGTCTCTGGCTGGATTACCAACACGGTTTTATTGTTACCTTTGTGTTAGTTCATGTCTCTTAGAGCTTCCTCTCTAAAAGCCAGGCTGGACTTTGAGAACAGTGAGGAAAACCTCATAATAGGGATTCAGGGGTGTTCCATACCCATTAGCAAATATTTTATTGATGATTTAAAAACTAATATAAGGAAAAGTCTTGTCAGTGTGCAGATCCTTAAAAACTAGTGATGTTTTCAATTCTTGAAGTACTGCTTTAAATATTTCTTTAAAAAGGAGCATGCCCAAAACAGCAGTTGTTACAATAGTGGTGTTACTTCATCTCTTCTCTTCTGGCCCTGACACAATGTTGTGTTTCTTTCCTGTGCTTGCTGAAGGACCAGTCATTATTTTACTTGCTGTGACAGAAGAAAACCGATTTCTTTGTAAGACCAAGCAAGAGATGGATACTTGCATATGATCCTTTAACTGCTTTTCTTCAAAGCTGGGCTGTGTTTTTTTGTTGTTTTGCAGTTAGAGCTTAGCACTGATAAAAGAGAAACTCCCTAAAGGCAAACTTCTCTCTTGTCCTGACACACTATACACAAATCTCATTGAGTTCAGCCTTTTCCTCTCTACCTGTGGCTGAATCACATCCTGCCACTCACTCATGCAGATTTGTCTGAGCACTGAAGAAATCAAACACTGCAAGATGTGGTCATGTGAAATACCGAGGGAGCTCCGGATGCCCCAGGTCAGGGCTGGCAGGAATTGCCATCGGGGAATGCCCAGAAGCCCGGCAGTGCCAGGCACCCAAAGGGGTCTGTGCTGCTGCTGGGACCCAGCCTGGTCACAGCCTGCCTGCAGCGGTGCTTTCACCCTCGGAGCTTTTACATCTGCTCTGCTGACAGGCACGGAGCTGCTGCTGCTGCTGTAACATCTCCAAAGCAGCGCAACAATAACAACGGTAATACCCGGCCAGAGCAGCGGGGAGCGCACAGCTGGGCGAGAGGCGTGAGA